TGTTAATTGACTTAAACGTCAAGCTTCTAAAAATTCTCTAGCGTTTTTTTTGTACTCCCTCTATCCAGTATTTCAACACTGTTACAATCGAATGTGTGTCCGTAGTTGTGCGTATGCATTGATATGAGGAAAGAAATGTCATAGAGTTTGACTGTTAATTGATGCTCACGTATGCGAAGCTCAGGTGGATGTCCACTTTGTTCGATGTAGTGTTTTTAGAAGTTTGGACGGTTTATTTTGTAGATGATGTTTGGTTTTTCTTCTCTTATTCATTATAGAGTTATGAAGATTGTTGTTTGTTACTGAAATTATGAATGAATCATTTTGTTTTTTGGTTTCTATAGGATTGATTGAAGTGATTTTGTGTGTTTGTGTACTACACCTATTCCAAATGGTTTCAGTAATCGTGTTGCAATTGTAGATTGTGGTCGGCATGATAAGCTTCGAGTTATACATCGAGAAATCCGAATACTTCTCTCCTATCTGAAGTTTGTGCTGATGATAATGTTCAGAAGATCAATGGAAGCTCCACAACTAAAACATGCAGCTCGGAGAACGAAACTCTGCCACAATCATCCTCCTGAGCTACAAATTTTCCCCACCATTTCACTGCAGGTTTACAAATATATCCGATCATTATCTAGAGATGTTTGATAGAGGAGATTTGTAACTCAAGTAAATGTTTTTGGCGGTTTCGTCCCCAGTCCGAAGAATGAAACTCCACCAAAACATTGCTTGATTTATAAACTATAATTATTCCCATGTCTATGGTGATACACTCTCTCATTAGGTCTTGCAAGAATCTATCCGGTACATCTACACTGTATCGTTGAAAACTGTAGATGTAAAGAAATAAATGGTATGTAACTGTCACTACTGCAGATTAGTAATGTTGTTGACAATCATACTGTAATTACTAAGATAAAGTCAAACTCTCTTTTGATTGTAGACTGTTTGCTTATTGAAATATCATTTGTTTGAAATAAAACTGCTTACAATTTAGAGGTTTAAAGTTAAGTTAAAGTAAGGAAACTACACTTACATTTTCCAATTGTCTACATTCAGTTTGTTGTATAGCATTACAAGTTAGTAAATTAGCTTCAATTAATTTTTCAATTTGAGTTTCAGTCAATAAAGAAGAACCATATAAATTTATCAGGGGACAATTTAACCAACGTCGAAAATTGATAGATTTACGTAATTCTAATGTACTCAACATAGATGAATATTTCATTGAGACTATGGGAATTGTTGAGTTATTTAACTTTTGTTCATGATTTTTTAAGTCCACAGTTGATGGACAATCATAAAGCCATAACAAACTAGTCAAACCTGAAAAGAAAATCAACTAATTGATAGCAGTTCAAAATAGGAACAATTTGAAAGTGATTCGTTAACGTTATATAACTGACCACTTCATAAAAAGTAATTATTGTCATCATAAAACTTATCTGAAAGAATTTTTGTAATTGAAAAATATGTGGATGATTTAAGTATGTGGGACTGAGCAGATCCTGATGAACTCAATAAAAATTCATTATAGCTAGCTTAGGTTTAATCTGCTTAATAATGGACTCAACCATCAGTTTCAAGTTGATTTCCTCTTTTATATGCTGTGGTATGTTTTACAATAACTGCTGATTTTCTAAATACTGAAAGCATTACTTTCTTCATTATTTTGTGGTATTTCTTTTTCTTAACTTCGAAACATTAGAATCAGATTATAGGGAGGTCTCTTTATTTAACCATTAACCTGAGCGATGCATCTTGAGTAGTTCCATTGTTGTGTAATGTTTTTAAGTGGTTTTCGTGATATACACACTCTGGACGAGAAAATTGTATTCTCTGAGCTAATTAAACGAGTACGGAAAAGAACGTATAGTCAAGTATATTAAAAGTTTCTAGTGTTCACTCTAGAGACTGTCACAAAATAATCCACCGCGGTCGGTTCAAGATCGTTAAAACACTAAACTGAATATATTGCATCGACTGGCGTTTCAAAAGAGTATACAGTATAGTTTCTAAAACTGCAGAGGTTGAAAGTCAATAGAATTGAAAGTGACTCTTGGTAGTCAACAGAACGAGATATGTTAGAGATGCGATCGAGGGAAAAATAATCTGATTTAAAACAAGATGTCATCTTCGAAACTAATCCGATAAAGAAACTTTTAAGTTCTGTGTTCGATCAACAAACGCAAGGCGACTGACTCAGTCGACGGGCACACAATAATAACACATGGAATCCGATACAGACAACGAATCCAATTCAGCAAGCTAAAATGCATTCACAGATCGTATTATCTTAATTATATTCCAACCATCGATCTATTGTTCCTATCTACCACTTCGGGCTCACTATCTTAAGGCCGATTGACTCTGTTAAGATGGAGTGATAATGAAGTTAGTGAAATTTATACATCTAATTTATCTGAGCATAGATTCTGCCAACTCAGAACATTTATAAACAATGGCGTATCAAAATTCAAGTACGATAGTTGTTTTGGACGATAAGTGATGCTGATAAGCGATAGAAAACAGGCCTATTCAGTGAATAATGAGTGACTCAGCTTTAATATAAAAATGTCTGAAGAAAAAAAAAAATCACCAATCAGAATCCTGATTCTCATTTGGTCCGTTTCAGGTCTACTAATTACCCTAGTTTAGTGCCTTCGGTTTTGCCAAATACATACCTGAGCAGTAGCGTAAAGCTTGACTTAATAGCTGAATTCTCATTGTTTCGCTCCTTTCAAGCTTCTCTCTATGACTAGCCGTGAGCCCATAAGTCATCAACCAGCCTCCACTATATCTGTATTTCAATGAGATGTGGTAAATGAGCAGATATACTGCTCCTCATGACAATTATACATAAACAAGCCAAAAGTGGCTATAAATAGAGGAAACTGTGAACAATAAAGCACATGATAGTAGTTTATAGATTAACCGAAAGCATATGATTAATGGAATACATGGACAAAGTAATCGAATTACTTAAAAGTTGTACAGTAAGTATGTATATATAATAATCCATAAATTAGTTCTGGGAGTTAACATTCCTTCGACCTTTGCTCCAATATATCAGTATAAATAAGATGCATATAACAAGAACTCGTAAAACTGTACATGGCAAAGTTATCAAGGTCACAGATGAAAAAGTATGTCGGAAGGTTACAAAATATCGTACTGAATTAAGATGATACACTAAATGGCCAGACAAAAATAGACTGAACACGGGTATGATAAGGGATGATTTGTGCTCTTTGACAACGTACTGATCTTATTTATTGATTTGAGTCATTTTTAGAAATTTAAACAGATCGGTTGTTTCCTGAGGTAGAGCAGGTATAAATGTGTGGATTGTTCGGCTATCTAGCTGGAGACTGATTAGATTTATACACACCTACTCCACTATTCACAGATTTTGTAAATAAGACAACCTGGTATCTTATTGTGCGCTCTGTTTTGTAAATTATCATTTATTGTATTATTAGAAAATATAGTATCCCTGACTGGGATAAACTGTAGGTGGTTTTAGTCATTTAAACACAGAGTATAAGCCATATACAGCCTCCACAAAAATATACTTTTTAGGATTGGAACGAAATATTTCAGCTTCCTACAACAAACTCAAGATACACAGGAGACAATTATTCTCAACGTCAATTATATAGGGACAGTCATCACCAAAACACTAAATTTCAGGCCTAGAAACAATGTAGTAGAGATATACAATCAAAGAGAATCCGGTGATTAGTATTGCGTGCATATGATGATAACCTAATTTATTTTAGTAAACGTAAAAACAAAACATTCTAGCAAATGGTAATTTATATTAACAAATATAAGGAATATATTCCACATCTTGACTAGTAGATAACAAATGCATGTAAGTAAATAAACGTACTGTTTAAAATGCGCAAAGCTGATTGTAATATTTTCTCACTTTCTTGTTTCAATGAATAATCATTTATTGTAACTTGACCTAGCTGGGCTTGTAGTAGACAGACAACTTTTAAAGAAGCATTTTTAATCCTCGCATGAATTGGGAATCTACAATCAGCAGCCAGAAAATTGTTTTAGATAATTATTGGATAATAAGGTTATTAAGTATTTCAAAAGCTATTTAGGGTAATTAGCCATGCAGATTGCACATTAAATGATTCAACTAAGAACTAAGTACAATTTATATGCACTAGAACTACTGCTCATTTTAAAGTAAATCAAGCAAATACGTATTCAAGCTCATTATTTTGGCAGTTGAACTTGATAAGCATATATATATATATATATATATATATATATATATATATATATATATATATATATATATATATATATATATATATATAAATTGTCAGTAAACCTGTATACAGGAAAAAGGTAATGGATAACTCAGTATGGACAATTTTTGTTAAATGCGATAAATAAGGCCTGATTAGAAAAGTGTTTCGAAAGACCCAGTGTTGCTGCCAAATGAGTAAAGTGTTGGAAACATTTGACGTAATAGTCAGTCAGCAACAACATAGAGGTCACCATACCGCCATAGCAAGGAGATGCAATTATCGATTTGTCAGTCAGTCAGTTGCAACGTAGAACTTCGTACGTATGTACATAAGTTCATGTTCCCATACCACATTATTAGCACAGACACGCAAATTTGAAATCAAATCCCATAGTGATTAAGATCGTAGAGGTAATAATGTTATAATAAAGAAGACTAGGGTTTAAGATATTATTCAAAAAAATATAATTCAGTGAGATATAGTTAGAAAGACAAAGGTAGAGGTGCTGGCTAACCCAGAAGATTAGGGTTTGAGAGAGCTCAAAGAGTGGATGCACCTGCGTCATTGCAAACGATTTTGAGCCATGTCGTTCAAGGTCTCTAACCATTGAAGAATTTCGTCTCGCGGACCCCAACCAGGTAGCCTACATCTACCAACATGACTCAGTCCATTTGTCAGTGACTTCATGGATTTCTGCCATGTTTTGGTCTGGCTGCCCCTAGCTTTCTTCCAACCTACTCCTACACCACAAAACATAGCTCGTCGAGGCAGTCGGTGGTTAGGCATACGTAACACATGTCCCAACCACCTCAACTGATGAAGTTTCACCACTTCATCGATTGATCTGCCATCCTTACCTAGTACTCGTTTCCTAACGACAGCATTGCTTACTCGGCTGTCCCACGATATACGAGCAATGCTTCTTAAACATCTATGATCGAATACTAGTAACCTACGAACATCTTCTACTCTTAACGGCCATGTTTCACAGCCATATAAGAGAACGGAACGAACTGCTGCGCAGTACACCCGCCCTTTGGTTAGCGAACGGATATCACGTCTACGCCATAAGTGACGCAGGTTGGCAAAAGCCAATCGAGCTTTCTGTATCCGAGCTGAGATTTCGTCAGTCACCAGACCGTCAGCACTGATGAGACTCCCCAGATAAGTGAAGTGATCTACACGCTCGACTACTTCACTCCCTATCACTAGTTCAGGTGCCGAAGCAACCCAGTCTTGGAGCAACATTTTGCATTTCGAGGGGGAAAACCGCATCCCGAACATGCTCGCATTGTTGCTTAGGGTAGTCAGAAGACTCTGCATTTTGTCAGCGTCTTCACCGAATAGAACTATGTCATCGGCATATTCTAGATCAGTAAGCGACTTTCTTGGTAGAAGGTCAACTCCTGAAAAATCTGACGAGCTTAATGTTAACTCTAAGAGGATGTCTACGACAAAGTTAAACAAGAATGGAGAGAGTGGACAGCCCTGACGGACACCACTTGATGTAGAGAATTCAGATGACAGTTCGCCATATGTTCTCACCCGACCAGTGGTGTTCGAGTAGAATGCTTGTATAAGGTTAATGTACTTCTTTGGTACACCTTTCAATGACAGACACTGCCACAGAACCTCACGATCCACTGAGTCGAATGCCGCCTTAAGGTCCAGGAACACGACTATTGTCGGACGCCTAAATGTGTGTCTGTGTTCCAGGACCTGTCGTAGTGTGAAGATGTGGTCTATACAACCACGTCCAGGTCGAAAACCAGATTGGTTTTCTCGAGTCTGCTCTTCACGAGCTCTAGTTAGACGTCTAAGTATAATCGAGGCTAACAATTTCGAAACTATATTAGTTAAACTTATTCCCCTGTGATTGTCACAAGAGGACTTCTGTCCTTTCTTGTAGATTGGGACAATTAGCGACTGAGACCAGTCAGATGGGATTACGTCCATTTCCCAGATTCTACCTAGGATCTCGGTCAGTTTAACCGTTAAAACTGGACCACCATCCTTAAACATCTCAGGGGTAAGCCTATCGGGACCTGCCGC